ATATGCCGTGTGCCGCCCGGACATGCTATCATGCTAACTAGCTCCCTGAAAGCGGGTGACTCCACTGTAGCAATAGCCTGCATGTGTTCTACAATATACCGTGCAATGGCTTTATCGACTTTTCCCTGGCTAGCAGTCCCTTGGTTAAAATCCAGCCGCTGTTGCTTAGGTGGAGGTGGAGTGGCGTCGGCTGAGTCTCTGTGGTCTTAGCTACTAGCTTCGTCCCAGCATGTTGTTTTTGCAGATGTTTTAAGATATTTGAATTACTGGTTTGGGCAGTAGATAGGATCTTTGACCCGCCAGGACACAACTTACATTTAACTAAAACGTTCTTTTCTTTGTGCTCGACAAAAGTGAAATAGTGAGAATATCTCCAGGTGGAGAAACTAGACTTGAGCTCCGCCGCCGCCATGATAGCCTTGTTAGTAAACAACACAAACACGCCCACTGCCCGTCTCCGCATGTGACACAGGAAGTATCCAATTACATTTACTCAAGTACTGTACTTAAGTACAGTTCTCATCTCTGTTCGCCTGGCTGTTGACTATAGAAAAAAAATAACGCAGTAACGGAGTAACGCACCATGTAGTAACGGTAACTGAGTTACTGAATTTAAAAAGTAATGCGTTAGAGTACTAGTTACTGCCAAATAACGGCGTTACAGTAACGCGTTACTGTGTAACGCATTGGTTCCAACACTGATGGAGACACATGGCACTAAAACCAGCATTCCTGTTCTGCCCACCACATGTGTCAGAGTACAGCACCACATGCTCAGTACCTGCAAGAGTTGACAGATACTGGAACATGCATGTGCTGATCTCTGATGAGTTGAATTCTCTGTTGAAGATGGATCTGTAGAAACTAAGTTTCCTTTGTCACTCAGCATTGACTTTTAATCCTGGATTATTTCATTCTCTTCATCAAGCTCTTCTGCATCTTGAAATAAGCCTAATAACACTTCTTCAGCAGTGAAAAGCTTTCTTCTCATGGTTGACCTAGCTTGCTTACATATGGTGTCAGCCATTTTGACTCAAGTGCTATCCAAAGGCTTTACCCATAATACATTTCTCAGGGCCAAAAGGGCGTAAGTGCACTTACGTCCTTTTGGCCCCAAATAGTTCAGTGTGTTCTGCGTTAGGTCTTTTGGTTTTTGATGAATAACTCTGGATTGGTTTTGAATTCACATGCACCCTTTTGGCAGTAGAAATAACTCATTGAGAGCTTTCATTTGATATATAGAACTCATTTTTGACCAAAATGTCACTTACGCCCCTCTGGTTCTCACCCCTCGTTATGTGCTTTTCACCAAATGTAATGACATCGATCAACAGAATAATACTTAATAATCAAACTGCTCTTTATTAGTCACATTAATCATTTAATAATCCATTTTCTCTTTGCTGGTAAAGTAACATGTGTTTTTCTAATTTAAGAGGGATCAGTAAGGTAAGGCTACCGTGACGGTTTGATTCAGAAGGAGTTTAATGTATAAGATCCCTGATGTTGAGGTAATCAGAATGTTTATTTCCACTGTGTACAACATGTTATAAGGGACCCACAATCTATCTTTATGCAAGGGATAATGTGCAGCGAGGCGGTCTCTATGGGGAAGAGAACACCTGCATCTAGATCCCTCTGCAGGTGGTACTTTAACTATATTTTGATGATAATACTTTTACTTGTAACATTTTTAATGCAGGACTTTTTATTGTAACCAAGTATTCCTACACTCTGGTACTTTTACTCAAGTACAAGATCTGAACTTCTCCCACCTCTGACAATACATCCTGAGTGGTTACCAAAAAGAAAACCTGCTCTGAAGGTTATTTTCATTTTACAAATCCTGCACTCAGCTTTGCTTTCTCCAATATCACTTTCTTGACTTTTTCCGACGCGCTTGCATTTAAATCCGTTTCCCCGTCGCTCTGTGCAGCTGGCCTGTACCACTACACCTGCTGTGCTCCCCACCCTTCTTTCACATAATGGTATGATCCTAGTGTGTCCTCGCATATGATTGGCCGCATGGTGGCCCAGCTAAATAAAGTCCCACCCCTGCCTGCAAGGATTCTCAGCAAGAGTAGGAGCGGCTGAAGAGTCTGCTCTCCCCGACGGGAGTCTGCTCTTCTAGCGGCATCTCGTGATCGGCGTGTTGGAGACCTCTGAATTAAATTCTCAAGTCACCTCAAGTCAGAAGGCTCAAGTCCAAGTCAAGTCCCAAGTAGGGTTGGGTATCGTTTGAATTTCCACGATTCCGATTCCACTTTTCGATTCCGGTTCTTAACGGTTCTCAATTCCGATTCTTTGAGGGGCAGGGTAAACAAATGATGCATGCTTCTTCCACCAAAAAAATTACATTTATTCGAGAAACTTATACACAGGTTAGTTTACAGTAATATTCACATTAATCAGTCTGTTTATATTCACTGCTATGTAACTGTAACCTGAGAACCACTGAAGCTACAACAGTCCAACTTTTAAAGGAACCCCCCCCCCCCCCCCTGCACTTTAAGCAGAATTACAAGAGACTAGATCTAGGGGGTACAACTCTAAACACCCATATGAAAAAGATCGGTTTACATTTTAATAATTAAACAAGTATGTGAACATAACCAATAACCCATAGCCAATAACAAATACATGTAACGTATTTTATTTTTGTTGTTCATTCATATCTTATTTTACTATTTTATTTATGCATATTTTTGTATCTCTCCAGTTTAAAACGATATGTCTGGTTTACTGGCCTATAGTATACATTGGAATGATTTCAAACCTATTTTATCCCAATAGTTATAAAGGAGTGCCTTTGCCTTTGAGTGTGTTTACATAAATTGTGATCAAACCGTTTGAGACCCACTGAGATAACTTAGACTAAAGTGAACTATCTAAACACTCAAGAGTCCTTTACCTCACTGAGCCTCTCAGTCTGACTGGAGAGGACTCTCCCTCCACATCATTGTAGAAACATCTTCTTCTTCCGTTAGAGCAGCTAGCACCAGATGCTAATAATCACAGCGCGTACCGGTGCACCCTCCCTTTCTCCCACGCTCACTCGCACTTTGGCTGTGAGCTGCGGTTGCCAGATAAGCCAACATCCCCCATTTTCATCAATTACAGCACCCATCGTACAGGGCAAATTAAAAGTGTAACCGGGATGAAAAGGGTGTTACATTTACTTAATTATGAATGTTGTTACATCAAGGCCGAACATTAGGATGAGAACCATTGGTCAAACATTATTTTGTTCCTCCCAGAGCTGTCAGCGCAGCGCCTCCACAGATCTGGCGCCCTAGGCGAACATCTATAGCGCCCTAGGCGAACATCTATAACGCCAGTGCGACGGGCCGGCCCTGGTCTCAGGTTACGCTGTACAACGCTACATTTCCCGTCCCTTCGCAGTCATACAGTAGGCTACGGAGAGCGGCGAGAAACATTTCCTCAGGCATCGAAAAGCGGAACCGAAATTCACATGTCTAAATGATGCCGTTGGAATCGAAATGTTGGAACCGGTTCTCGGTACCCAACCCTAGTCCCGAGTCATTGGTGTTCAAGTCGAGTCGCAGGTATTTTGTGATTTTGTCAAGTCTAATCCAAAGTCATTAAATTGTTGACTCTAGTCTGACTCGAGTCCAAGTAATGTGATTCGAGTCCACACCTCTGCTTAATACCATCCAAACCATCAGAGGCAAAGCAAATCTTCAAACTGTAAGTGATACTAAGGAAGAAAAGGAGTTAAAACATGTCTGTTTAAGGCGTCTAGTGGCTTGATAGATAAAAAAGGAAGGAAGCCACGACAATAACCAATCCCATAATGTCAGGCTGCATTCATGCATTTGCATGAAGGTCTGGAGCTTGGTCCTGATGGGCTATAGTAGTTTAGCTTCAGCAGACCTGAGGCGGCGGGTGGGCATGTGTTGTTGGATGAGGTCACTGAGGTACAGGGGGGCAAGGTTGTTGATGGTGTAGGTGACAAGTAATCATTTGAAGTCAATCCGGTGTTTGATGGGGAGCCAGTGGAGGTCCTGGAGAATAGGGGTGATGTGGTCGGTGTTAGGGAATAATTTGCCTAGGTATTCAACCTTTGACACAGTTCATCATTTTCTCCTCTCACTGTCTCCTTTCCCATGGCATATGTCTACGGCCTTGGGTATTGCTGCTATCTCTCTTAAGGAGGGGCAGCTTGGGCGCATTGTTGTTGCCAGTCTATGACCGAGCACAAGCCGCCATGAGGTAATTTACTGTTCAGGGACGAAGGTTCCTTGGCGCGCATTCTTTTCTATGGACGAGAGCTCTAGTTAGATTCAGGGTCCATATTTGTTTAGTCTCACTGATGAAGAATGTTGATTATTACACTCCGAACTAGATAAAACCTTGAGCTACAGAAAGAGTTCTTCAGAATTGGTTTGGCAACCGCTGTGTCAACTCGTGACACACCACCTGTCTTGTCAACTCTCCGGCCGAAACTCCAAATAAATCATCAGTGTTTGACATCAAAGCTCCTGCTCATCCCGTGTCTCCTTCATGAGTCGGTGACTCCCACTGCATTGCTACACAGAAGTTTCCTCCACAGTCGGAGCGTCGGGTGGAGGTGAGCATACGGGCAGCGGAGTTTTGGACATATTGCAGTTTATTGAGGATGTATGCATAGAGGATGCTGTTGCAGTAATCCAGACGGATGTAATGGAGGCATGGATAAGAGTTTCAGCAGCGGTGGATGAGAGGGGGGTTCTGGTGCGGGCAATGTTCTTTAAGTGGAAGAAGGCGGTTTTTGTGACCTGGTTAACATGAGGGAGGAAAGTGAGGGCGGGGTCGAGGATGATACCAATGAGGGACATCTTTTGCATTACATATGCCCATTTTATAATATGACTAGAAATAAATGATAGTTATTAATATAAGTATTGTTTCCTGAAATATGGTAGTTTTTTTGGATAATTATGATGAATAATACACACAGTATGACTTTTAACATAAAATAACATGTAGAGTTTACTCACAGGGGCCAGTCCAGGACACTCGTACACTGTGAAGTCTCCGTCCTCGTTCTCCTCATCTGTCGATGCTCCTGAGTCGGGAATTTTCAGCTCATCCCTGTGTCTGCAAAGGTCAAACACAACCACACACACGCTTAATATTTAGGGGGTAACAGATTGGAGGAGGCAGAGGGGGAGGGGGGGCATGTACAGTGCATCCGGAAAGTATTCATACCCCTTCACTTTTTCCAAAAAAAATTATGTTACAGCCATATTTCAAAATTGATTAAATTAATTTGTCTTCTCAACATTCTACACACAATACCCCATAATGAAAAAGTGAAAAAAGTTTTAAAATAATTTTTACAAATGAGTTAAAAATAAAACACTCAAATATCACAAACATAAGTTTACTTTACTCAATACTTTGTTGAAGCACCTTTGGCAGCAATTACAGCCTCAAGTCTTCTTGAGCATGATGCTACACGCTTGGCACACCTATCTTTGGGCAGTTCCTCCCATTGTTCTTTGCAGATCGTCTCAAGCTCCATCAGCTTGGATGGGGAGCACAGCCATTTTCAGATCTCTCCAGAGATATTCAATCGGGGTCAAGTCTGGGCTCTGGCTGAGGCACTCAAGGACATTCACAGACTTGTCCTGAAGCCACTCCTTTGTTATCTTGGCTGTGTGCTTAGGGTCGTTGTCCTGTTGAAGGGTGAACCTTCGCTCCAGTCTGAGGTCCAGAGCACTCTGGAGCAGGTTTTCATCAAGGATCTCTCTGTACATTGCTGCATTCATCTTTCGCTTGATCCTGACTGGTCTCCCAGTTCCTGCCACTGAAAAACATCCCCACAGCATGATGCTGCCACCACCATGCTTCACTGGAGGGATGTTGTTGGCAAGGTGATGAGCGGTGCCTGGGTTCCTCCAGACATGATGCTGCCACCACCATGCTTCACTGGAGGGATGTTGTTGGCAAGGTGATGAGCGGTGCCTGGGTTCCACCAGACATGATGCTGCCACCACCACGCTTCACTGGAGGGATGTTGTTGGCAAGGTGATGAGCGGTGCCTGGGTTCCTCCAGACATGATGCTTGGCATTCAGGCCAAATGTGGTTTCATCAGACCAGAATATTTGCTTTCTCATGGTCTGAGAGTCCTCTAGGTCAGTGGTTCCCAACCTGGGGGGCGCCAAAGATCGCCAGGCCTCAGATGATTTGAGGCCAAATATCTATCTTTTTTTACATATAATTGTAACGCAATACATGATTGTCGCTAAAAGGTTGGGAACCCCTGCTCTAGGTGCTCCATGTGGGCTTTCATGTGCCTTTTGCTGAGGAGTGGCTTCCTTCTGGCCACTCTACCATACAGGCATGATTTGTGGACTGCTGCACAGATGGTTGTCCTTCTGGAAGGTTCTCCCATCTCCACAGAGGAACACTGGAGCTCTGTCAGACTGACCATCAGGTTTTTGGTCACCTCTCTGACTAAGGCCCATCTCCCCCGATGTTCAATTTGGTTTGGGCGGCCAGCTCTAGGAAGAGCCCTGGTGGTTTCAAACATCTCCATTTGCAAATGCTGGAGACCACTGTGCTCGTTGGGACCTTCAATGTTGCAGACATCTTTCTGTACCCTTCCCCAGATCTGTGCCTTGATACAATCCTGTCTCTGAGGTCTACAGTCAATTCCTTGGACCTCATGGTTTGGTGTGTGCTCTGATATGCACTGTCAACTGTGGGACCTTATAGACAGGTGTGTTCCTTTCCAAGTCATGTCAAATCTATTGAATTGACCACAGGTCGACTCCAGTCAAGTTATAGAAACATCTCAAGGATGAACAGTGGAAACGGGATGCACCTGAGCTCAATTTTCAGTGTCATAGCAAAGGGTGTGAATACTTATGTACATGTGATATTTCATTTGATTATTTTTAACACATTTGCAAACAATTCTTTAAAAACGTTTTCTATTTGTCATTATGGGCTATTGTGTGTGGAATGTTGAGAAACAAAATGAATTTAATCCATTTTGAAATAAGGCTGTAGCATAACAAAATGTGAAAAAAGTGAAGGGGTATGAATACTTTCCGGATGCACTGTAACTCACTTCTCCATAGAGAGCATCTGCTGCTTCTGATGCTGGTAGTGGTACATCTGGGCACTGTGGGCCAGCTTCCTGTCCCCAGGCTGCAACACAAGGGTCAGAGATGGTCATCCACTTCCTGTCAAATGACCTTCACTTTACATGCTGTGACCGTGTTCTCAAACTGCAGGAAGGGCAGCCATGTTTCCTCTGAGGGTTCCAAACGTATCAAACTGTCAGATAACCTTGTTAAAGGGTAACTTTTCATTAGCTGCTACATAATCTGGACCTATATCAGAATCACAATCCCTTGATTATTCCAGACAACAAATTAACATGAGTGAGAGTTGGAGTGTGGAAATGAGTAAGTGCATTCTAAAAGAAGGTCATTGTCACAGTCAGAGACAATCACAAGCTCTTTATAATGAATAGATGTTGATGTGATAAGTGTGTGCGGGAAAGTGTACAGTGGGTTTCCAGAGCATTTCTTATTGGCATGGTAGTGTGGTGCCTTTCTCAAGGGCACCACGGCAGGGCCCAGGAGGTGAACAGGGACCTCTCCAAGTATAGCCAATATGTTAGGTCTGTTCTGGGACTGTTCCAGCGACCCTACGGCTCACAGACCAAGCCCCTACTGACTGAGCCACTGCCGGTCGTTTAACTTCCAAAATAAGTTCAGTAGTTCCACTTTAAACTAAGTTGACAGTAGTAATATTGATACAAGTAGACAATTGTCTATATAAAGATAGTAGGCAAGGACTGGTCAATATTATATCAATATCAGGATATAAGATGAAATATTTAAAATTTGATTTTGGGACTTTTGTAATATAGCACATGTTGTCTTTTTCTGGTTCTTAAAGGCTGCATGACTGTAAAATGATATGTCTGAGTCTGTTGTAGCTGTTCTGTCAATGACCTTCCTCCACTTCATATTGATCAAACTATTTAGGTAGAAATACGATATTTCATCTCATCCAAATCACCATGTAAATGTCCTAATTAGCATTTAGAATAACAACATTGATTTCAAATTTGCCAAACATGTTTTTATTTGGAAATCTAATAAATGCTTTTTCATGTTAGCCCCCACCTTTCCAACAACTCAGTGGAGGTTTCTTCCCGTGTAACACTACCAACTTATACTACTCACCAAATTGTCGAAGGCCTGTGCTCTCATCAGTCTGTATGCAGGGTAGTCCGCCTTCTGAGTCAGACTCACTCCTTTCTGCATTCTGAAAACAAGTTTTTAAAAGTCACTCCCTGGCAGATGTATACGCATTTTTATTTACATTTTGATATCTAATGTTAAAAAACATTTGTAATTGATTTGCATGCGTTTATTTGGATCCATGTGTATGGGCTTAGATTGGTCTCATAAATATTTGTGTGAACATAAAAATAATTTGTGTGTAAATATGTGATTTGTAAATGTAAACCATCCACATCCACAAATGCATTTAAAAGATTTGCAAACTCACAAATAAATGTTCAAATGTAAAACAGATATGCAAAATATTTTCACAAATAAAAAAAAAATCTGTGAATACTATAATTAATTTACAATAAACAAAAGGAATTTGTGAATATCTCTTTAACATTGACAACTTTCGATCAGGCATTTGTGAATCCATTTTGTATTTGTCGACCAAAAATGTGCTTGTGGATCTGAAATCTCTGCTCGTGGATCTGACATCTCTGCTCGTGGATCTGACATCTCTGCTCGTGGATCTCAAATCTCTGCTCGTGGATCTCAAATCTCTGCTCGTGGATCTCAAATCTCTGCTCGTGGATCTCAAATCTCTGCTCGTGGATCTCAAATCTCTGCTCGTCTTTTTACACACAGAGTTTTGAGACAAACTTTCCGCCGGTCTCGACCGAAATCTGCTCGTGTCACTCGGTTATTTTCGGAAACCACGAGATGGCCTGCTGATGACGACATTTCCGCATTTCAAGGTTTCAAAGTAAGAGCATGATGGCTTCCCTCTGGAGTCGACGCTCGCAGCGCCGTGTCGAAGTGCACATATTCTACGTATTTAATCAGATCTTTTCGATTATAAGGAGTACAAATATCATGGAGATAACCACCGAATCGCTGGAACTGTAGCTTTCCAGCGGTACCTATCGTGAGACTTTACCAGACGACTCACAGCAGCTAATAAGGCCGCTCAAAGCAGCTTGACTTTGCGTTCCACTGTGTCTCGGCCGGGGCAGCTGCAGCTATGTTGGTCTGAAATGACAAATGGACACTCAAGAAATCACTAAGGACCGACCGACCAATCAGTTAACGTATGTGAGAAACAAGAGAGACTGAGAAAATGGCTAAAAAAAACATAACAGTTACGGACGAGCTAGAGATTATTTTCGCTAGCACTCGTGAAAATTGTGTTGGTGTGGAAATCACACTGAGGAAATGATTCACCATGATTTGCCTGTATCGACAACCCACCGCTAAGGTGGATTTCTATGACCAGGTAAAACTCCTGCTGAATTCCTGTGACTCCAACAAAGAGCTAGTTATTCTAGGAGACTTTAATATCAACTGGAATGACAAACAAAATAAAAAGAGCTTAAAACGGATCATGGATAAACACAACTTAATACAACTAATGGATCAACCGACTAGAATAACCAAAACCGCCAAGAAGACTATGATAGATTTAGTATTTACTAACAAAGCTGACAGAATAGTTAAAACATACAACTTCCTGACTGGTCTTTCTGACCATAATCTTGTTCTTTTTACCAGAAAACTCACCAAAAAAAAGGTTCAAGGCCGCACCTAAACCCCCTGCCTTGGGTTCTCGCTTCATCCCCAAAAACCTGCAACAACGTTTTATGGAGGCAGTGACAATGATTGATTGGGCGGGACACTCTCTCCTCTGAAGATATTGGTGAAAACAGTGTATTTTTTGTAAAAAATTTAACGATACAATGTCTTCCTTCTCAAGGAACATCCTTGCCTTAGGGATAGGAAGGAACATCATCTTCCCTGGCTGAATCTACAGTGCAGGGATCTAATGCAATCTAGAGATCAACTATTAAAGCAGAGCTTGAAATCCGGACTATCCACTGACAGACAGAGATTCACTCATGCTCGTAACAAGGTAACACAAACAATAAGACAGGCCAAAGCAAACTTTTTCATCAATATAATTGAAGGTGCGAAAGGTAACGGTAAAAACGTTTGGCAAATCCTAAATAAACTATTAGGTAAACATAAGAAACAGGAAAATAATGCTCTAGAATAAAAAATCAATGATGCCCTGATAAAAGACCCTGCAGTGTTGGCCAGCTCTCTCAATTAGTATTTCATAAATAGTGCTCTGGACATCGCAAAGCTCTTCCCGCCATCTGAGGTCTCACCTAGCCCGACTGTGGATACACCCCGTTTTTGACCTGGAGGAAATCACAGAGGTGGAGGTAAAACATATAATCTCAGGGTTAAGAGGTTCTAAGGCTAGGGATGCAGAGGATTTAGACACCAACTTTATAAAGATACATATTGACGGTCTAATAAAACCAATTAGTATGCTAGTAAATCAATCTATCAGCATGAGGGAAGTTCCATCATCCTGGAAGGTGGCCACTTTGACACCGGCCTTTAAATCTGGGGATAAGGCAATTATGTCCAACTACAGACCAATCAGCATCCTCCCCTGTGTCTCTAAGATAGCTGAGAAATGGGTGTCAAAACTAATCACCAAACATTTAGACAAAGGTTTCGCTCCACTCCACCCAATGCAGTTTGGTATTCGTGCTCACCACTCCACTGAGACAGCTAACTGTGTCTTTGTGGAAAAGGTTAAATGTATGTTGGACACGAGCCCATATGTAGGTGCTGTCTTCCTTGATCTCAGGAAGGCTTTTGACACTGTTGACCACCAAGTGCTCCTTACAAAGCTGACGTATTTCAATGTTTTGGCAGATTCAATACAGTGGTTTAAGTCTTACTTATCGAACAGAAAAGTGTGTTTTGGTCAACGGTGCGAAATCCCCCTACCTTGTCAACCCTGTTGGGGTTCCACAAGGTTCCATTCTTGGACCATTACTGTTTTCACTATTAATTACTTGCCTAATGTATGTCCTGATTTGAATGCGCAAATGTATGCTGATGATGCGGTCATCTTTGAACATGGGAAAAACACTGAAATGATCGCATCCTGTCTCTCTAATGCTTTGGACAAGGTTCAACACTGGCTGAACAACATTTGCTTACAGTTAAACGTAAAAAAAACCAGTATACACGATGTTCAGTAAACGACCAGTCAAAATCGAAGGATCCAATGTGTTTTTAAACGGAGCAGAAATAGAACTAGTCTCCCACTTCAAGTATCTTGGAGTCATACTGGACTCGAACTTGACTTTTAAGAAACATATTAAGAAAGTATCCAATACCATTAAATTCAACTTGCAACATTTTAAACAAATTAGACCTTTCTTAACTGTCCATGCTGCAAAGTCATACCCCCACTGTATGATTCTATCCCACATTGAATACTGTTTGACAAACTGGTCGTTTGCTTGTGCCACAAACCAGAAACCCATAGAACAGCTGTACAAGAGAGCTATCCAGGTGTTTGACAGAAAGCCACATTCATACCACCACTGTACCATCCTTGATAAACACAATTTCTTGAGTTTTGACAATTTTAAGTATTTTAAAAGGTTCCATGTCATGGCCATTTCTACTGATCATAATTCCATTGTTGAGGTCTACTACAATAGATTTATACTGTGCAATGTTCCAAACTCACATTGGTTTCTCATACAGCATCTCTGTAAAGTATGTGTATTCACTCTCTGTCCTACACGGCTTGTTGGAGCTCCTATGTGGTATGTGCTTTATTTATAAATGTTGACATGGACTGCCCCCCCCCCCCTTAGGGGAATTCATCCACAGAAAACACACTGGACGCTGCACTAGGTCAGAAACCAGAAGAGACTGAAGTCCACCGCAGACGGACCACTTTTGGACAAAATGTCCTCTCCGTTAAAGGCAGCTCTTTGTGGAATAGCCTCCCAACTGAGACACGGGATTGTCCCTCTCTCAATAGCTTCAAAGGTCAACTCAAAGAATGGATGAGAAACAGATGATCACCGCTAAATGCACTATAACACACGGGTATCTCCTCTTGCACTTTATGTATCCATGCTGCTATATTGTATTGCCATGTCATACATACTTGTGTATTCTGCTCTTGCTCTTTTGCACTTTTCTTGCATTTCATGTATTTGTATTTGCTATGTTAGTAAATTTCATTTTCTTAAATGTTTTATGTGAGGGACTGCGGATGGAAAGTAGCTCAAAGCTAAATCTGGCATATTTACGCTTGGCACATTTATTGTTTTAAGTGTTCATTAATGTGCATTGTCCCTACCAAATAAACGATTAAAATAAATAAATAATCAGAATAGAAAATATTGTTAGCTGCAATGTATTGTATAACCACCTGGATGCCTCAATCATAATATGACTATCTTTGAATATAATCAAATTAGATGTAAAAAATCTAATCCTAAAAGCGAGTGACGTTATATTTGAAGCGTCTGAAGCCGTAGATTTGAAAGGCAGGAATATATATATATATATATATATATATCTTACCTGAGCCAACAGGCGCCTGCTGTGATGAGAGCCATCGAAGCCACCACCATGAAGACACTGCAGAGGACTGAGAGGACATACAGACACAGTGTGAGGGGAAATCTGTAGGCGTCAGAAGGGGACATGATTCTAACCCAAAGCCCTGGATCTGTCTTAGAAGCAGACTATAGAGCATGGGAGAGCTTCTGAAAAAAAAGGAGTCATTGTGTCTGATATGGCCCAGCAGGGACAGAGAAACAGCATTGAGAGGAGAAATGGAGCGAGGCACAACTAAAGGACAGAAACACACCTCTTCTGTTCTGTAGCTCCATAGTGAATTTGAGGTCAGACCCGAGATATCACAGCATGGAGTGCTAACATTTTGCCAGACAAAGGAGGTATTTGACTAAGTCTGAGGACTTTAAGGCGTGCGCCTGTTCCCATGAAGATAGATGACGTATTTTTTCTATTTAAAAACGGAAAAAGTTTCACTCAAACTGACTTCAGATTGGTCAACGACCTAAGCTTCATGTTCCTCAGTGCAGGTGCCTTTTCTGCTATTTGACATGCTTCTATAGCTGTTTGCTGGTTTTGAGATTACAATGCCAACCTACGCTGCTGCTGACTGGCCATCACAGAAATTGATGAAAGAGTGATTATTATTATTATTAGAGTAAGAACTAAAAGTACATGTATGGTAAATAAACTTGAGCAAACAAACATACCAACTATCAGCATGTGAAGAGGCTCCTGTGTTTTTAGGCATTTATGTAGTTTACTTTTAAAGTATGGCTTACAATTTATCCAACACAGATGTTCATTACATAAATATATACCTTTAATCACACCATGTCTTAATAGAGAATAACATCTGTGATATGGCCTGTCGTTTTATTTTCTTAAATCAACCAACTTAATATACCGGGTAAAGTGCATTCCCTTCTGCACTCACTGATGTTTGGGCTGAGTTAGTTAGGAACTCTGAGAGTATTCCCACAGTATCTGTGAATACAGGCCCTGGGCTTTGTTCCTATACATTTGCATTGAGATTGCATCGACTCAATGCAAATGCATAGTAGAGGGTGCTGTACCTGAATGAAAAAAAAGTGTTTTTACAACCTCAAAGATACAGTGCAGTGAAGGCAAATTGTTGTCACAGTTAAGATGGATGTACACTACTGGGTTATGTGTGTTTTACTCTACCTTGTAACAACAACAGATGCCTTTTTGTTTTCTTTGTTACATCTTGTGGCTATCCATGTGTTGTTGTCTCAGTGTGCAGACACTGAGTCAGTGTGAAAGGACACCTAGATTAAAGCTGAAGCCACCTGCAGACAATCAAGACCTGAATATTGCTCATTTTATAATCTAATGTCTTTATTTTCTCAATAATTAATTGATAAAGGAATTTAGATGTGTGAAACAGAAATTAACTAGACACCATTGTGATGAAGTAACATCACTGTTTAGCGGCAGCCATATTTTAAATGTTACGCTGGCATCATAGAAAATATAGAGCAGCCTGTCTTTAAGAATCCTCCTCCGCTCTGATCAGAAATAAAGATTTCTGAAGGCTCATGTTTTTCTTCATCCTACAAGGAATAAGAGCTCTGTGTCTAATGGAGCAGAACGGCCTCTTGGTTCCTGCACAGTTTAGCACGGCGTTTAGTTCTGAGGAGCGACGTGTCTGTATGCCCAACACCAGAAAGGATTCTGAAAGTTTATGAAATTTGATTGAAAATTACGTCTGACTATAAATAGCTGGCTGCAAAATGTCGGTGCAGGGGGAGAAACACTATAATTAGAATTATTAGTATGAATTATTCTTTAAAGCATTTGAAATAACATTTCAGATGTTTTAACACCTGGATGAATGAGGTCCTTATCAATTGTCAGTGAGCCACCTACAGTGTGTTGCCCCCCTTCAACAGCAGTACATTGCTTGTTTCAGTAATCGTATTTCTGTCCCCTTCCAATAGTTGGTCATATCAATTATTATATTTTTGCTCTTTACGACCTCAGCTGCTGTTATTTTTACTGTCTTACAATGTCTTATCATTAGAGTGTGTTTAAATTCAATGCTAACTTGCTGCAAAAATAATTTAAAACTTAAATGAAGCGGCCTCCAGGGCTGCAGCACTTATCCATAACGGGAACTTCCAAAACATCTTTGCGATAAGGCAGCAACCATTGACTAATCAATATTAGAAGATCAACAGAAAAATAAAACGGCAACAAAATGTATAGGCCATTTACTGTTTATTTAAAGTTAGTTAAAGTACATTTAAAGCAAAAATGACAAAAATGCTATTTCTAGCCTTGGAAATCTGGAGATTTTCGTGCTTTTCTATCTTTGGTATCATAATCGCTTGAGCACCAGGAAAAGCGCTATAAAAAAATAACATGTATTATTATTATATTAAAGTAAATCTTTAGATTTTGGAAGAAGAAATCTATTTCATTGGACTCACACAGGCTCCGCCCTCTACTGGACTCTATGGGTAATACCTCTCAACCATACTATGCAAGCATTCATCAACTGAGATATCTATAACCGTAGCCGGCCACCGGGGCGGGCCTACCTGAATGCGTGCACAAGCCCACCGTATATAAGGCGGCCACGCCTCCCGTTCCTTTTCTCTTCAGCGAGCGAGCAACAACTGAAGCAGAGAAAGTAAAACGTTTGAAAGAAGAAGAAAGATTTGTCATACCTCCATGGAGTCGCCACTTCTAGAGACCTGGGCCTGTCCTTCGTGCCCTGGCTTAGATAGCGGGCGCCGATCCCCACCACCTCTGCTTCGAGTGTTTGGGGGACCAGGATATGGCCGAGGCGGTGCCATTCATGTTCGCCATTCCAGCGGGGCGGATGGCTCCGTTTGCCGTTGTCGGGCACTTCCGGGTTCGGCGTCCATGGAAGTCCACCGCCCAGGGTTATACTTCCCCCTGGGTGATGACCATGGCGGCGGAGCGCAGCTGCTCCCAGCAGGCAGCAGGTTGGGCAGAGAGCTAAAAAGGGCTCTGCCCCGCTGTCGCGTGACAGGGCAGCTGTAAATAAACACGGGTATGTTGGGCATCTCGCTCATTGCTAGAGATGCCCCACCTCACCAGATCAGAGCGATTATTTGGCCGCAAGGCCAAATTAGTAGCTGGGTCTACTGTGTGGCCGCCGCTGCTGCCTGCCGTGTGATGTCCCTGGGGGATCACGCCGCATGGCATTTTTCAAAAAGGAGCGTGTTGATCTCCGGGGAGCCCCCGTGTTTACGGAAGGGCTCTTTGGATCGATCTCTTTGGTCACGTGGGTGAGGAGTAGTCGCAGCGTGGCTGCTTCTTGCTCATCCCCAGAGGAAAGAGCACTGTCCCACACTCCCCGCACCGCTGTAAACTCCAGTATAGGAGCCAGCAGGTAGGCGAGCGCACAGTGCTGTCAAAGCACTGTGCGGGTTCAAGAAAGAGTGATGTGTGTGTGAGAAACGCATTCAGTGAAAACGATTGCATTTATCCCAGAGTAAGAGTCATCTCTCTCCACAATTCCACTTTTTACTATAACGTCCATTTCAAAGAGACGGCATTAGGACAGAGCCGCGGCCCCACGGGAGCATGCCGCGGTGCGTTCAAGGACCTCAGTAGAAAATCGGCCCTTTAAAGTGTCGGCCCCCATGCCAAACTTCCTTTTATGGAAGGTTTGGAAGCGGAGTAGGCCACCAGAGAGTACTACAGCTTCTTAGCTTTGGCTCCACAGCTGCTGGCATGTCCCCTGAACACAGCTGTGTAGGGAATGGAAGCCCAGCTGTGTACTGACAGAGTAGAGGGGCAGGACACTGAGACTGGGTTACTCACTCCAGCTTTGCAGCATCCCTCCTCCATTCAGGGGCAATAGAGAGGCAAATATATCATCCTCGGCAGAGATTCAGGCCCCGTTGCAAAAACAGGCGGTATCTGTGTGCCAGGCGATTGGTTCACAACCATCGACCTGAAAGACGCTTACTTACATGTCAAAATTGCTCCAAAGCATAGAAAGTATTTGCGTTTTGCCTTCATGGGAATAGCCTACGAGTGCAACAGACTGGCGTTCGGCTACTCCCTGTCCCCACGCACATTCAGCAAATATGTGGCCACAGCGCTTCAGCCGCTGCGCGACCGTGGCATGAGGGTGTTCTTTTATCTGGACGACCTCATAGTCATGGCCAGGTCCAGGGAATGGGCAATGTTTCACACAGCCCAATTGATCCAACACCTAAACAAGTTGGGTTTTGCGGTCAATTGGAAGAAGAGCTCCCCCATGCCTCACCAGCAGGTGCAGTATCTGGGGATGTTGGTCGATGCAGGCAGGCAGGCTACGCGCCACCCTGTCAGAGAGCAGACAGGCATCATTGCTTCGGGCAGTTTGCAGACTGCGACAGGGGGCAACGGCGACAGCACTGACCATTATGCAGACTCTGGGTCTCATGGCAGCTGCTCACTTCGTGGTACCGCTGGGGTTGCTGCATATGCACCGCCTGCAGAGGTGGTTTGCCGGCCTTCGTTTTAGAGACACAAACAACGTCTGGTGACCATCCCCCCCCCTCCCTTAGTGGAGGGCAACCTCCGATACTGGGGGTCCCCAAGCATCGACGGAGGGGGAACCTCCTACGTCACGGGATACATCCGTGACAGGATGGGGGGGACCTGCCTAGAGAGAGCTATAGGTGGTGGCTGGCCTCTGGCAAAAACTCGGCACATCTACCTTCTAGATCAGGGGTCGGCAACAGGCGGACTGCGGTCCGGATCCGGACCCAGACCTATGTGGACCCAGACCTATAATCAATACATTAATAGGGGATTTTAAATGTTGACGGGGTGATTCTATTTTAACCGCCGCCGACAGGGGGCGAAAGAGACGAGTGAGCGATACAGGGAGAGAAACACAGAAGAAGAGACGAGAGAGCGGCAGAGAGAAGCGGAGAGGAAAGTGAGTGAAGAGAATAATTAGCGATACAGGGAGAGGAGAGGAGAGTGAACAGGCGTGTTAGCGGCAGACAGGGAGAGACAAATAATGACACATGGCGCTCTCCAAGAAGAGGAAAGTGGACAGTGAGAACAGAGCTTTTAACCGTGAGTGGACTCATTCATGTTCATCCTGCTCACTGGGAGCACAGAACCAGTGTGTCTCATTTGTTCAGAGACCGTGGCGCTCATTAAAAGTGCCAAAACGCCACTACGAGACAAAACACAAAGTGTTTGACCAAACATTCCCTCTCAAGTCAGAACTGAGGTCACAACAAATAAATATTGTTCCAGCGCAGGCTAACCGAGGCTAACCGATGAGCACCTGCATGTGTGTATGAGAATGGCCCTGACACCATTTCAGCCCAGATCTAAACTCCTGGCAGGACAAGCTCCAGCTCAATTCTCACACTGAATTAAAACAAAGTGAGTGAGGGACTGCAATATTAGAGGGAAAGAAAGAGACACTTTAAAACTGTTCAATTGTTATGATGTGTAAAGACTGATATTGTTCTATAATCGTCTGAAACTGTTAAGTCATGATGTGAAACGGTTAACAAAGAAAAAGGGAAACTCAAGCTGCTGCTACACTTTATTTTATTTATCTAAAATTAAGCACTTTTAAGATGCATATATTTTCAAAAGCTATTTTATTTATTTTCTCTATTTCATTTTTAAATGCAGCCCGAGAGGAACATTACACATATCCACAGTATTTTACTGTATAGTTCAATGTTAATTGACAAAATATATATACATATTGTTGTTTATGAATTGTACTTTCTTTATTTGGCAGTCAGTTGTTGATTACATGCAGACGTTGATAAAGCTACAGGCTACTTCAATATATATCACATTAATTCATAAAGCAAGTTAGACATTTTGAAGCTCCGGACCTTTGCATGGGGAGATTTTCTCTAACTGGACCTCGTTGAATTTTTGTTGAATACCCCTGTTCTAGAGCTACGGGCAGTAGTACTGCTCCTACAGCACTGCAAACCCTTACTACAGGGCAAATATGTGCTGGTGAGGAGCAACAAACGCACCACAGTGGCTTGAATCGACAGGCAGGGCGGTGTCAGTTCTGTGGTTGGGGGCCTCAGAATGTTTTTATCTCTGAAGGCCCCCCCACATTCGGGGACTGGAGAACAGGGCGGCCGGCCTCATGTCAAGAGGCGGGCCCCTGCCAGACGAATGGTGGTTCTCCCTGGCTCGGCAGGACAATCCACCTTTGGGGGTGGACACGTTTGCACACGAGCCATGGCCAAGAAAGCTGTCCTATGCCTTTCCACCGCTGCGTCTCATTCTCCCGCTCCTGGGGAGGGTGAGGCGAGAACGTCTGTCAGTCATCCTAGTGACTCCGGATCGCCGTGGTACTCAGATGACACAGATGAAGGTGGGCCAGCCCTGGAGCTCTCCTCCCTGAAAGCACTGTCATGGAAGACATCGTTGCTACTTGCCTTAACTTCGGCCAAGAGAGTGTCAGAGCTGACCGCTCTGTCGGTGCACCCAAGTTGCTTGTTGATCCGGGGTGACCGTAGCGGGGCGACACTCAGACCGAACCCCTCCTTTGTTCCCAAGAGTCTAGGGAGCTCGTTCAGGTAAAGTGCTATTCAGTTAGGGGGCTTTAATCTTCCACCCCATAGTGGGGCCAGGGAGACTAAATTGCACCTCCTCTGCCCGGTGCGTGCACTAGCATGTTTTGTGGAGCGCATGGCTGCCACTAGGCACACTGAACAACTGTTTGTGTGCTTTGGGGGCGGCGTGGCCGGTAAAGCTCTGTCCAAGAAACGCCTGGCAGGATGGCTCTGCAAGTGCATCTCACATGCCTACGGATAGGCGGGGAGAGCCTTCCCCACGGGGGTCCGTGCACACTCTACACGGGCTGTGGCTGTGTCAACAGCCTTATTTAACGGAGTGAGTGTGGAGGACATATGTACGGCGGCGTCTTGGTCCACGCTTGATGAGTGTCACGGAGGTGATCTCTGGGCCCATAGATCTCGGCCTCCGTTACTGGTTGTGTAGCTTCATTGTTGTTGATTGTGTGCACCTGGTGCCCTGTGTTGTCTCCTCCCCCCTCACCTGTGTCTTGTTGGGTTAATTAGTGTGGGTATTTAGGCTCTGTGTTTCCTGTTTTGTTTGGTGTGTGAGATCCTTGTGGCTGGTGACTGTGCTCACGTGAACAGCGAGATTGAGGCTGTGTCATGTGCCCGTGAGTAATAAATGCTCACACTGGGTTGTATTTTGGATGTTCTGCCTCTGACTCCTTGCTTGGTTGGGCCGCTCAACGGTCAGCTTCACATTGAGGCAGCACATGACTGGTGGTGGGGGGGGGGGGGGGGGGGGGGGGCTGTGGGTCAGCAGGTATCTCCCGGTCAGGGGAGTGTGGTGACTCGATGTTGTTGGACGACAGGGCGTTTAGGCATCAGGGCTTCACCCACTGTACCCATAGAGTCCAGTAGAGGGCGGAGCCTGTGTGAGATATAACGTTGGTAACCCTTGTTATATAAGCACAGGCGGAGCCCTCTACTCGGGGCCCTGTCTGTCCTATGCTGCTCGCTGAAGAGAAGTGTAGGATGACGGGAACAGGAGGCGTGGCCGCCTTATATACAGTGGGCTTGTGCACACATTCAGGTAGGCCCGCTCCGGGGGCCGGCTACGGTTATAGATATCTCAGTTGATGAATGCTCACATAGTATGGTTGAGAGGTATTACCCATAGAGTCCAGTAGAGGGCGGAGCCTGTGTGAGATATAACATACGTAACCCACCGTTTTAACCTGAGAATATATAGTCATTAAACCAAATCTCACAGCACTCAGGTCACAATTACAGTTTCTACATCAAGCTCAAGAGGTAGAACTCCAAAAGAAAGCTTTGTCATGGCTAAAGTACAGAAAAGACTTACTGATGAAGACCTGGTCATGGGGGGGGTACGGGAGGATGATGGGATCGCTGAGCAGAGCAGTGGTGTGGTTTGTGCTGGAGGTGGTTTCGGAGATAGGGAAGGTTGGCGCCGCACTGGTGGGCAGGACACTCTGGCTCCTGGGCTGCTCTGTGGTGAATGCTGTGAGGGGGGGGGGCGCCGGGTGACAGTTCAGAGGCAATTTGGGAGGTTGGAGCTGAGATAAGGAATGAAGGGTTTAGATAAGGAATGAAGGGTTTGGACTTTGGAGTCATTATGTCAGCATGGATGTACTGTAGAGCTGAATAGGAACAGGGGGCTTCAGTACCTGGCAGCCTGGACAGAGTTCTCTGTTCACTGATGATGGCAGACAGGAAGTTGATCTCCTCATCCAGCTCAGGATAGGTGCTCACCTTACCTGGAGGAACAGAAAAATAACAAACACGCTTCATCTGTATAATACTAGGTAATCATTTGCAAACATTATGCAGGAAAGAGAAGACACACAATGAAACCGGCACATTCTCTTGACCATTAGATACATTCAGATCCTTGACATAATCAATGAACGGCCTCCATACGTTCTCGAACGCTGTCTTTATGGCTCTTAATATATACAGTAGGATATCTCCTCCAATGGGAGGCCTGACAGCATTGGTCGCAACCAATGAGTGATGTTTGAGCTGTGAGCCTTGTTCCAAAACAATGCTATACAGGTTTTGGCGTAGAGTAGGCTGAGGTCTACAAATGTTAGCTCATGTTCATTACCGGACCCATCAGAAAATACTGGGTCCAGTAAAATCTCTCGTACCTCTTCCCAGAACACTTCTGCACTAATCTTTCTGCACTGCAAAATACAGTGAAACCATGTTCTCCGTGATTATGTGCATACATCTGGTATATTTGTGTTCTATCGGTTTGAATCAACCGGGGTCACATACGTTCGCATCAACCATTTATACTGTATTGGTTTCAGTCGTGTATTAATATTAGTATGAGCAGCAACTCAAGCATTTTTCCAATCTTCATCTGAGACTTCAGTCTGCAGGCTGTCCTTCCATGCATTTAACCTACAATGTGAATCTCAAATGAGAAGGATGAGAGCATACTGTACTCTGAAGACAACACACTTTAGGTTTAGGTTTGCGGTGAGGTTCATGGCTGGTGAGGCACTGACTCTTTCAGAGTCAGATTTACAAATATTATATTTTGACCTTAATCGAAATATTCGGTTATTTTCAAAAGCTTTTTTAGTCTGATGCTTCAATTCATTTTAAACAGACCGTTCAACAAAAGGATAGGCCTACCCACAATTTAAATATTGGATTGTTCTTTCTTAGTAAGATCCCATTTGCATTACAATTGTGGTCTTACCTTGACTTGAAGATGAAGTTCATGCTATCCTTCTGGACAACAATCTCCATTAAATTTTTGTAAAAGTCCTCCTTATCTTCCTCTAGTTTCAAAAGTCTAGTTTGTTGTTCGCGTCTATACCGTCTCTGCGTAGAATAACAGTAGCAACAAGAACCTGTGGGCTCACTTGCGCCCCCTTCAGTGCGGCAGAGGTTATGGCTGCCTCCCCTGGTGCTTTTTTCATTGCCGTTGTATGATGAGACCAGCGAGCCTAAATATCATATATACGTGAAATAAGTTATTTAGAGACTATGGATGGCGAGGATAAATGTAATAAAGGGATCTACAAACATTACATTGGTGACATACAGTGAGATGGTGCAGGCATGCGCTTAGGGCCCGCTTTCCAGCCAGTTTCTGTGGGGTGACGCATTCTGAGGTGAGGCAGAGCTCATCTGTGCCTCACCTCACCCCACAGTAACTGGCTTGAGCGCGCTCACAAAATAAGTGCCCGCGCTACATTAGTGCCCGCGCTCCAGCCAGTTACTGTGGGCTTACGAGAGGCAGAGCTCGTCCCTGCCTCCCTTCTCATCGCTACCCGTAGTTGTAGCGGAGCTCGGCAAATTTCCTGATTTTGACTATAAAAAGCGATTGGAATCAAACAGAAATCACACTTACAACACAGATCAGTGGAGACATTTTATTATTATTACTATTTAGTTTTTCTTTAGTAGTTTTTCCGTTACATTGGAGTATGACAGGTGAGGCTCTGCCTCCCCTGCCTCCCCTGACTGCACGTTGCTGCTGCAGATAGAACCCCCTTTGAACATAGACCAGGCTGGGTCCAAGTGAAGTACCAGGCAGGGTTGGGAGGGATTCTTCGAAAAGGTAACCAAATCTGAGTATCACAATATTAAAGCAATGTAACCAGATTACTTTACGTTACTTTTGAATAACCTTAATATCAAATGCAATGAAAATAAATACAATCTTTAATCTCTAAATATGTTTTGATTAGAGGACATTAGAAAACTGGTTTACACAGGCTGTCTTCTCCTACCTCTTTTTTTGTTTTGATACAAATATAGAGAATAATATGTTGTATGTAGGTTGTTTGTGTTGAACCCAGTGACGATTAAACTGAACATCACATGTAAATAATTTAACCTCAGAGCAACAGCTTCTTCTTTCTGAAAACATCATGAGCTCATCAAGAAACACAGCTGATCGAACAAAGCCCATGCATGTGAATAGCTTTTTAACCACCTTGACCAGCAGGACTGTGACTGTATAACATCATTGAGGACCAGTGGTAACTATTATTTTTGCTCTCTTCATAAGCATCCTGCAAGTCAAGACACAGGTTTACAGGTCTGTGAATGCAGACAATTAATATAGCACATCAATTCAACACTTTACTGTCAAAACTGTCAAAGAGTATCTCAAAATAAATGGTGTTGCTATGCAAGGCCTGCCTGAATCGGTCTACTTTTATTGGTCTATTAAATCAGAGCACACCTTGGCACCAGTCAGTTTTAGGGGCATGCACGTGGCCTATGTGCCGGATTGGAAAGATAATAATAATAAAGTTATAACATTATAAGATGAAAGGAATATGTCCTCAATAAAGCCATCATTCTAAAGTCAAGTCGTAGTTCAGTTTGTTGCTATGTGCATCCTTACTGCTAGAGGCCTCTCAATCCAACACACTGGACCTGGAGTACACACTCTGATCACTGGAGTGTTATATGGTTAAAATGCCAAATTGGCAATACAAATGCTGTATGTTGCTAATAAACATCCTCTGAGTCACACAGATAAACTGAAGCCCTTACATTCACCTGTCCTAATCCTTCAGGACTGCTGAAGGTCAAGTCATGGCTTGAAAAGGAAAGATGACAACGCCCTTGTGTGGCATTAGAAGCAACTGCTGACGTGATGTTTTTTAATGAGTGGATCAGTGTTTATGTCCCCTCTATTTCCTGTTTCAGATTATCATCTGTATCAATCAATCAATCAATGTTTATTTATATAGCCCAATATCACAAATGTTACATTTGTCTCAGTGGACTTTACAGTTTGTACAAAATATCAGTATGACAATACGACACCCTCTGTCCTTAGACCCTCACATCGTACAAGGAAAAACTTCCGAAGAAAACCCACAGTTTAAAGGGAAAAATGGGAGAAACCTCAGGGAGAGCAACAGAGGAGGGATCCCTCTCCCAGGACGGACAGACGTGCAATAGATGCCGTGTGTAAATTGAAAAGATAATACATTTGCAACATAGGTAGTCCAAATGTTTGGAAATGCATGTGTGTATAATAGGAAGATGAATCCACGAGGATATCCATCCAGGACCTATAATCCAGGACCACAGCCACGACTCAAGATCCAGGACAGAGGAGCGCAGGATCATCCATGACTCCGGATCCCGGCATATACAGACACCAAAAAGAAAGACATTTGGGGAAGCTGGGTTAATCGGAACATGAGAGTACACAGGTATAGACAGAGAGAAGGAAGAAGTAAGATGTCCCCCGACAAACTAAGCCTATATCAGCAAAACTAGGGGCTGAATCTAATCAGCCCTAACTATAAGCTTTATCAAAAAGGAAGGTCTTAAGCGCACTCTTAAAAACGGATAGGGTGTCTGCCGCCCGAACACAAACTGGAAGCTGATTCCACAAATGTGGAGCTTGATAAGAAAAGGCTCTGGCTCCCATTGTACTTTTAGAGACTCTAGGAACAACCAACAACCCTGCATTCTTGGAACGCAATGCCCTAGTAGGACAGTAGGGTATAATGAGTTCTTTAAGGTAAGATGGCGCCTGCCCATTAAGGGCTTTGTAGGCGAGAAGAAGAATTTTAAATTCTATCCTGTGTTCTATCGGGAGCCAGTGTAAGGCAGCCAGAACAGGAGTAATGTGGTCCCTTTTCCTAACTCTGGTTAGTACACGAGCTGCAGCATTTTGAATCAGCTGAAGCGACTTGACTGACTTCTTGGTACACCCTGATAATAAAGAGTTACAATAATCCAGCCTTGAAGTAACAAATGCATGGACTAGTTTCTCTGCATCGTTTTGAGGCAAGATATGCCTGATTTTTGCAATGTTACGTAGATGGAAGTAGGCGGTCCTTGAAATTGATTTTATGTGGGCGTTAAAGGATAAATCCTGATCAAATATAACACCAAGATTCCTTACAGTCTCACTGGAGGCCAAATTAATGCCATCCATGGTTAATATATCCTTAGATAATTTGTTTCATAGATTCTTCGGGCCAAGTACAATAACTTCAGTTTTGGTCGTGTTTAACATCAAAAAGTTTAAGGTCATCCACGTTTTTAAGTCCTTAAGGCAGTCTTGAATTTTATTTAGATGATTAATTTCATCAGGCTTGATTGATAAATATAGTTGAGTATCATCCGCATAACAATGAAAATGTACAGAATGATTCCTTATAATATTGCCTAACGGAAGCATATATAATGTGAACAAAATAGGTCCGAGCACTGAGCCCTGTGGCACTCCATGGCTAACTTTGGTTTGCGTGGAAGATTCATCATTGACACGTACAAACTGAGAGCGTTCAGATAGATAGGACCTAAACCAGTCTAAAGCAGTTCCCTGTATGCCAACTAAGTGCTCTAGTCTTTGCAATAGGATATCATGGTCGATAGTATCAAATGCAGCACTGAGATCGAGCAAAACAAGAATAGAGACACGTCCCTTGTCAGAGGCATTAGAATGTCATTTGTGACTTTAACCAGAGCTGTCTCTGTGCTATGATGTGTTCTAAAGCCAGACTGAAAATCTTCAAATAAATCATTGTTTTTTAAGTAATCACACAGCTGTTTTGCGACCGCTTTCTCAAGAATTTTTGAGAGGAACGGAAGATTGGAAATAGGTCTATAATTGGCTAAAACCTCTGGATCGAGGTTGTGCTTTTTAAGAAGCGGTTTTATCACTGCTACTTTGAATGATTGTGGAACATAGCCTGATAATAAAGACATATTCATAATATTTAATAAATAAGTGCTAATTAATGGAAAAACTTCCTTC